TGAGAGATCCTCTGGAGAGCCAGTTTGTCCATTCTGGGCTACTGTAAAAACATGGCAGTGTGAAATGGCGGGCCATGGAAGACGACTTCTCCTGAAATAAACATTGAGACTCCATTTTTAAGTTTGTGAAAAAAGGATTCTTAGTTTCAAGTGATTGCACACTCTGATGAAAAGTTATTAAAATATATACAATAGATCCTACACACTGCACCTTTAAAAAATACACTTCATTTAAACCTAAAATTACTTCTTCTTTTTAAAACATCAGGACAACAAAATAGTTTCATGAATAAATACAGATACATGTACATGCATATCAATTCATTTGTTAAATATTTAAGACCAGACTATATTTCAATTGAACACATGATTGAATACATTCATAACATACATTTAAGAAACAGTGACTATTCAGCTCCACTTTGTACATCAAACTGCACAACAACTATACCATTACCCTTAAGTATTTTAACTGTAAGTTTCACTCCTGTGGGGCAGAAGCTGGAATAACACATGTTCATATTTTTGGCTCATGCATACTGTACATGCACCTAACACTGACTTTACCAGTAACCTAATGATAAGCAGTTTGCTTCCCAGTCTAAAGGTAGAGAGTTCAACAACTGCCTCTTCCTTATGTCACCAAAGCATCCAAAACGCTCCCAATCTGCCGGGACCTCCATCACTGCTGCACGCTGCTCTGTTTTATGTTTTCTTCACCGAGTTTCTTCTCCGGCAGAAGCAGATGGTGTTGAAGAAGCGGCAGTGGCACATGGTTTGTGGCTCACAGCAGCCAGACTGGGGTAAGCAGCTTTGTCCGAGCTGAGAGCACATGGGCTTCACAGGTCTGGGTACCACTTTAGATGGAGGAGGAAGGCCATGTTGAGAAATGTGAACCACTCTCACACGTTTCTGGAAGGTGATGAGAACAGAGATAGGGGGAGAGAGAGAGCGAACATCAACCTCAACTTCAAAGACAGGAGAGGCAAAGTGATGTATTCTCACCTTTTCCTTTCAACAACAACTTTTTTTATTGAAGGTGACACAAGCACAATTTTTTGAATGTGTTATAGTAACACATTTATTGTAGGAGGCACCATTTTCGTCATGCACATGAACAATAGAAGATGAACTGAAGCCCACCAGCTTACCGGCACACTCTGCCGTTCATACTGCCCCCTCCTCGCGAACAACGGCTTCTGTCTGACGGGTTTCGAAGACCCTGTTGAAAAAACATCAACACTATGTGGTTAGGTAAAAGAATGACAGAAAATGGTCTTATCTTCAGTCACCATTAGTTTGTATCTTATATATATCTTTACATGATACACATGCGGCTCACACATGTTGATTCTGTCAGACGATGTCATAATTACAAATTCATGATTACAGCAGAGCAGTGAATGCTGGGTAACAGGTCATCATAATGCGTCCGCGTTTCAGTTACTGTTTCATACTTGTTGTGTCGATTGTCGACAGAAACAGAAAAACATGTTAATGAGAAGCTTTATTTTGAAGTTGTCTGTATGAAAATACTGAAAGAGAGTAGGAGAGAAGCAAAAAGAGAAATTAATGATACTAGACAGGACGAATATGACGCAATGGCACCTTGAAAATGTTATTCAACGTATAACTTCATGTAGTGAGATTTAGAACTTCAAGGAGCTATAATATGACTATTACGTAATCATAAGACAACAAAACATACATTTATTTCTAAGTAGATTTATGTCCCTTCCTTCTCTGACCTCCAGAGGTCCTCATGCGTTGAAATACTGGCCACCAGGCACTGATACATTGTGTGTGTGTGTGTGTGTGTGT